AACTATACTTCGGCGTTAAAAGTGACTGTAGCTTTTTCAGGTTTGATTACATCATGTTTTACTCGGACTTTTCTTCGAGAACATGATGTAAACAGTTTTTGAGGTTTTTATCAGCTCCATGATCCTTTTAGGACCTCACAATCTTTATGCGCAAATGAAAAAGACATGTTTTTACGAAATTCATACATCAAAGGTTGTATGATTTATGAACTAGAATCTGTAGTGTATCACTATTACCATGAACTTTAAATTTTGTTACCATTTACCATCTATTACCAAGAATTAAAATTTTCTTTTTATCATTACCATGGTAATCATGATAATGGTACCGATAAGGTAATGGAATTTTTTTGTTACCGCAGGACTCTATTCATGATCTCGCAAAAAGTTTCCAGTAACGCATTCGAAATCTATGGAAAAACGACCATAATCGTTACATTGGAATTCTTCATTCAGATATGGATGTTGCGACTGTTGTAGTTCATATCTTCTTTGTGGAGCTGCATAACGTGGGATAACTTCATGCGTTGTTGCTCTTACTAGCGACTCATTTTTCATCAAGTCAGCTAATTGTTGCACAGCTTAAAAATTCACTAATAGACGTTGGTTGTTTTTCTAAAATTTTAAGTTTTAATGATGGCTTGATATTTGAAATGAGATGTTGTAAAATATTATGATCCATCGGTGACGGATATATTTCTCGACTGATATCGAGGATTCCATTATAAAATTCAATCACTGACTGATTAACAGATTGTTTGTAATATTAAATTTTGAGCCAAACTCACCTTTAATCTGTTTAACAAACTGCTGCCACGTTTTGATGGACGAGGTATTTCTGGTGTACCAGTTTAGTGCGTGGCCTGGTAATACTGCCAGTATACATTTGAGTTTAATGTCTTCCGACCAACCATGGGCATTCAACTGAGATTATAGGTCGTCTAACCAGTAAGTAGGTATACCCAGATACCTTTCGGTGTAGGGTGAGACAAAAAACTAAAATAAAATAAAAAATAAAAAAAAATGCTTGCCGGGGGAGTATTCGAACTTCTACAAGGCTCTGCTGCAGTAGCGGGAAGGCGACCCTGGGCTGCCGGTAGTCAACCGTCTGATTTTTAGGCTAGCAACCTGTCAGTCGGACATTAAACTACAATTGCTAATGAAAAGACAATCAACAAGTGTGCGAACGCACAGAAGTCCGTTTTTTTTTGGAGCATGGAATGTTCGATCATGTCGTCTAACCAACTGACTGCTGTCTCCTTCTTTCCGTTAAATTTTCTTAAATTTTTAATTGCTTGCTCATTAAGAGGTTTGATGAGACTTAATTCTACCAGATCTTTCCTTAGCGTGCGTAAACCGCTAGTGTTGTAATTGACTTTGGCAAGGTACTGCATGCTGTAACAGTTGCCTTTGAGCCAAATTTTGTTGTTAATTTATGAATAAAATCATTAAAATCTAATACAGTAGCTTTGTGCTTTCCGTATCATATTCTTACTTTAGATGTAAGTAATGATGGTACATATGCAACCCACATTGATTCGAGTTTTCAAATGATTCAAACACCGGAAGTACTCCTGTAAGCCATGCTGCCGGATCTTCTTCAACTACTCCAGAAAATTTCGTAAAATTTGTACGAATAAGGTCATCGTGCTTTCGTTCTTCGTGATCTGTTTCGTTAATGAGCGTATCTACTGCCGTTGTTCCCAATAATTATTTGTCCGCTGTGCTCGTTGTTGTAGATGATGTTAAGTGATCTGTACCGCCAAGATGGTGAATAAGATGTTGTTTAAATTTTTCACAGTTGATGTTGATATTTTCTTTCGTCTGTCCATTCCATGCTTTCAAGGAATCGTCTTTTAAACATTTAGCAGCTTCTTCAGGCCAACAAAGCTGCGGATAATTTAGTTTTTGAAATATAATTTCAATTGCATTAAACCAATAATTGGTCGCTATTAATTCTTCTGTCGGATGCTTCAATTCCAATATTTTATGTAAGAGGTGCTGTTCAATCTGTTTCGTTGTGTTAAATGCGGCACTTAATGCTTCTAGCGATCGTGATCTTTATTCTCACTTTCGATTTGTTGCTGTTGTTTCTCCATTGTATTTCGTTCCTCTTCTTCGATCAGATTAAATAAGATTAGGTACAGACTTCTTTTTGTAGTTGTCGTTCTTGATGGCACTGGTGAGAAAACCCTTGATTGTCTTCTTAAATTCTTGGTGCCGGTTAGGCCTAAAGAGTTTCGATCACTGGGTCATAAGTTATACTGCACATCAACTATTTGCACTTTCTTAAAATCAACTTTTGATCTTATTTCCTAATATTAGGGAAAAACAGGCTGAAAACCCTGATTGGAGTCGAATTAGATATACGTCGAGAGTCTAGCCGAGCCCGGAAAGGAGTGATCTCTAACACAAGCCAGATATCCTGCTGACTTCTTGTTCGATTTTGTTCGCTCTTGCATTCAGTATTGTATTGCTTTAACCACGAATGTGCACCAGTTTTCTCTCCTTTCTCGATATGAAGGTTAAACGTGAGAAGAAGAGACAAGCTCTTGTAGCGCAATCGGTTAGCGCGTTTGGCTGTTAACCAAAAGGTTGGTGGTTCAAGTCCACCCAGGAGCGTATGTTTTTTGTTGAGTTATATCATATGTACTTGTTTTCATCGTTCTGGATACAGAACCAAGTTTAAGACAGAAGAAATCGAAAAACACATTTTTGTTAATACGTTTTTCAGAAACCCTTTTCGAGCACCTTAGGGTTTTGTAATAGAATAGCTTAAATACTCTACATTCTGAAGTTTTGAACTCGCTGTGATGCTTTTTGACTGAATAGTGAATTTTTTAATATTAGGGGAAAACAGGCTGAAAACCCTAATTGGAGTCGAATTAGATATACGTCGAGAGTCTAGCAGAGCCCGGAAAGGAAAACGGAGTTCGGCAACATGTACTGTCGCTTTCTTGTTGACAAGTGTAGAGGATCAAAGTTAGCTGTTAGCGACTTGTTGAACGTGATCGGTTATCCATTCTACCTTTCATGTTATTGATACTGATGCAAGAAAAGATGAAGAAGCTTCTGAACCGTGAGAAGAAAAAAAAAGTGTTTTTGGATGAATGAATGGATTTAGTTGGTGAAGATAGATCAGGAGAAGAACAGAAAGATGACTGTCAACAATATCAGAGATGGACAGCTCCAACTGCGGAGTTGATCTTCTTTTTCGTGGCGTTGGAGTTGCATTTTTATGAGGTTAGAGGTGAGTTGAGTTAAGATTTTTTCAACTTCGACTGTACAACTACAGTTGAAAATTTGCATTTTATTGCTTTCTGCAGTGATCACATTAGAGTTGATCATAACAAGTCTCTCGTTTTTCCTTTCCTAAGTCTATTTCTTTTGTATTCTTTTATCACCTGTTCTCCCACTTCTACAGAATTACCTATTCTCTGTGAACCAACGGTGTAGAAGAATGATCTGGAAGAAACACACAGAAAAGAAAACGAAACCTTATGTCAACGCACTGGATTATTCTTTTTCACTTATCCACAAAAGCAAACATGAATTATTGTATTTAAACAAGTTTATTTCGGTGTTATTGTTGCTTTTGATTATTTGATGGAAAATGGTGACTCTGAAACAAATGACGTTGCACGAAGTTATGAAAAAGCATTAACCGATATTGATTTTGCTATACTTCTTATTATTGTTAATCGTGTATTTTGTATTACTAAACCATATGCTGAACAGTTTCAAAAGCCAACATGTGATCTTGTTAAATGTTATCAAAGTATAGAACAAGTCTCAGTATGTCTAGCTGAATTAATTTATGGTGATGATCAATTACATGAACTTTATAATGAATTTACTACATTTATTGAACATAATGAGATTGATCATCGTTTATCACGAGTAGCATGTCGCCGTTATCAAACAGTCAAAGATTATTTTGTAGACGTAAGGAATTTTTACATATGTTTATAAACAATTCCATTAACACAAAACTTTTTGTCTTCTAGGTATACAAACCACTCATCAATATGACGATTGAAGAACTTGGAAGAAGATTTACCGAACATCAAAGGATTGCTATGAATATGTCAAATTTAATCCCGTCATATATTGTTAATACTCGATTTTCCGATGTTTCAACATTATTCAACTATTACAAAGATGATTTACAGACTGATGATTCTAGTATTCACAAGGCTGAATGAACCAAATTAATTGTTTTGCTCATCGTGTCTTTTCTTTCTTTCGATTTTCTTCTTGTAAGAGTCATAGTCAGATATAAGTCAAGATAAGCAAGAATATCTATGTTGCTGATATCTATGTAAAATTGGAAAATACTACAAGTGGCAACATGTAGTCTGTCTGATTATAGTCATGATGGTTCAGAAAGTCCATCTGAAATTTTCATCGAAACTAAAGACTGTACCTAGAGTACAACTCGTAATGCTAACGAATTGCGGATGTCTTCGAAAAATGTTTAACTATTGCCGTATAAAAATTACAAAGATTAAGCTTTTTTATGAAAGTTTCTTTTCTGTCATAAATAGCATATGGGTAGCCGCCTCCGTAGGTGTTAACAAGGAGCTTCATCTTGAACTAACTACATAATACATAAGTACTTAGAAACCTAAAGCAAATTCAAATTATGTAGTCCAAAACCTTTTGGGTAAAACAACTTTTCGAACTCACTCTCACACCGCTCTCATCCTCCCTCCCGCAACACCCACCAGAAATTATCAGAAATACTCAAATTTATATCATGAAAAATTCGTGGAAGAGTCGCCTCACGCTAACTCACACTATTTAACATAGTAAAGAAAATACTATTTCGCAGCTAAGTATCACATATTGTGCCTTTTTTTCTAACCTTTAACTTGAAGTACGTTGTCTGCCCACTAGCCGACTGAGTCACGTTGCTCAAGAAAACTTACTCTAGGAATACTCTTTAGTTTTATTTTAACCATTTTTATTTTAATAAGTTCAGAATGAGAAATACCTGGTGAATGTACTTGAGATCAAGTACTTAGCCACTTGCAAATTTTCTAAAGTACTTGGTTAAGCACTTGCCAAGCATTTTTAGATTTAATACGTGCCAAGTACTTGGAAGAACGTCGGATACTTGCATATATTTCATAAGTACTTACCACGTTGCTTGACAAATAGTTGATGAAGTACTTATCTAGTACTTATAATTATTAAATTACTTGATAAGTACCTTGTTTACTTGCAAAAAACGTCAGCTACTGTGGACATTACTTGCACAAGCACTTTTCTAAGTACTTGGTCTCAAGTACATTCACTAGTGGTATAATAACTATTTATGAGGGAACCTTTCCAAGTGCCGGACACCTTGCGAGCTGATATTTTGCTGTTTCAAAAGATTGTTCTTGTGTGAATCTATCAAAAACACATACTTTTCTTTTGCAGTTATTCTACTTTGATACTATTTAGACTTTCCTATTAGAGGAATTTTTCTGCTTTTTTGTTTAAAGAATAAAATAAAAACAGAAGAAATTTTATATTTTCATTTAATATTCCTCTTTGATATATTCAAGGAAGAGAGTATTCCAAGGGAGAAACAACGTAAAAGAGTGCACATACTTATAAGTGACAGTCACTTAGCCGCTTTAAGTGCCACGTTTATTTTTCTGTTTTGAACAAGATTTGAGCAATAGTGAGTGATAGCTAATTTTTCCTCGTTGTAGGTAAGAAAACAGAACTCATTTCGCTTTTTGCTACCCATACATTACATGATATTGAATGTTTATGTTGCTTTATAAAAGAAGGTTATAAGTGTTGTTCTCGTACACATTTCGATGCACATGTATGTGGTAAAACTATTAGGCCGGGGATGTTTGGCCAGTGCCTGACTGATATAAAAAACTGAAAAAGTCGAGAAAATCCTTCAATGTCCTGGGGTTTGAAGCAAGTCTAAGCATACTGATAATAGCCGCTTTCAATATTTCTTAGCGGGTTAATTTTCTGTCCGTATATGATACTTTGCAAAGCAAATATTTCTGATCAAAATGAAGGGAATATCGGAGTTTTATTGAAAAACTTTTCATTAAAAACATTTTCATTAAAAGGAAATTCATTGCAATTTTAACAGAATTCTTGTGTCGTTAGAAACTCTAGGTCACAGCCATTTCGTACGAGTCATTTTAATGAAAGTATCGGGACTTTCGTTAAAAATATTTTTAATAATAGTTCTGATGCTTCCGTTAAAAAAATCGTTTTAATGAAAGATTTTTCATGAACGTTATGTAATCCGGGATTCGAATTCCGTATGTCTGAAGTACGTTGTCTGCCCACTAGCCGACTGAGTCACGCTGGTCAAGAAAACTTACTCTAGGAATACTCTTTAGTTTTATTTTAACCATTTTTATTTTAATAAGTTTGAGAATGAGAAATATAACAACTAAACTATAATATTAACTATTATTTAACTAAACTCTAATATAATAAATAAACTATGAACAAGTTTTCCAAACATCTCCTAAAACACTTGTTTCGAAAACAAACTTTGAAAATATTTTCTATTACACGAAGATACCCTCAAGTCTTGACTACACAATGATGAAAACTGCAGATCTCTATCTGTTTTTGTCCGTGAGTTATTCAAAACAAAAAAACTCCGCTCTTTTAATGGACAGACAATAGTAGCCATAAGGTTTTTATTTAAAAACCTCCGTAAGTTAAGGGAGTTAATAAGCTTTAAGTGACTTCGCTATTTGAAAAGAATGTCTGACACTCATTCTGTTCAAAGATGATCAGGGTAATTTATCTATTGGGGGTTTGAATACCTGTCTTTGATTTGAATCGATTCTATTAGTTCTATTACCATGTCTTACGTTACTCTCATGTAAATGATAAGCTTTTATTAGTTTGCATGGATTGTATGAAATAATTCCCGATTTATTTTGTAACTCAAACATAATACGATTCTCCCCGCTAAAAGGAATGAAATTTGTGTTGACTATAAGTATGTATTAGTTTTTTCATCTACCCACCCCGTTATTCCACCAACATAAACATCTGTTGCATCGTACACTTCTTGAAAGTTGTTTACTGGCGGTTTGAAAATATATGTATCATGACTCCCTATATACTGTTTACTACATCTTAAATCTCGTGTTCTACCATTATTATCTGCTTCTATAACACTCAATGCAATCAGTTTATTTTTCATTTCAGCTATTTGTTTCAATAATCGAATTGTTTTATCAAAATAAACATCGGAATTGATGACAGCAACGAAAAGACCTAAAATTCTAGAAAAAATTAGCATTTATTTAAATATCAAACATTTTGTTTTACCTCGAAGACGATTTTGAGAAAATTCAATAGCATTGTTAAATGTGAGACGCTTTCCTAACAACCATACGTATATACATTTATCCTTGATAATGGAAAAACAAAAGTTTTTAGGTAAAGTGAGAAATGGGAATGTAACATACATATTTGCTTAATAAATAACATGGAATGTGTCCTTTTTTCTCCAATAAAAGGTGGATGCAATCGATTTCGTTGTTTAATATATTCTTTTCTAAAGCTAAATCAAGTTCAATTTGTCTTCTTTTGTCATCATCAATATAAAACTGATACTAAAATTAATGTGAAAAAATTGTCATATAGTTATGTGATATTAAATATTGGTATATACCACAACATGAATTTGATTTCGAGGAAATTGTTGATTAAACATAATCTCTTCACTTTCATTCTTTTGTGTCCTGAAGTGTCGAAGTTTAAAATTTGTTTTTGGCAGTAGCACTGGATATCCAAGCTCACTGAATTCTTCAACTTCTTGTGTTTGTTTCAAGAAATGATACCAAAAACAAAATCCAATAAATAATAAACCTAATACACGTTTTAACCCTTTATTAACGGAAGTTTTGTAAAACATTACTCTACAAGAATATGATTAAACGACGTGAACAATGAAATAGATTTTTAGAGACTAAATCAGTGTGTAGTAGGTAGCACTACTGTTCAAGTCCAGTGCGCAAGAAAAGGCAAAAACCTTTCGTAAATACATTAGTACGTGATAGTTTTTGTCGTAGAGATAAAATCTGAAAGTTGAATTCGTGAGCCAAACAACATTAGAGTAGAATTAAGAAGAAGCCAATTTTCCACTCGTTTAACAGCAATTTCCATTCATCGAGAACAGAAATATTCCGCTCATATGGAATTAATCTTGGGATCAACATCAAAACAATGTACCTACACATTATTCTTCGTACATGTGAGTGGTCTTATTATGCGCATACAGAATGCATCCATTTTTGTCCCTAGTAACTCATACTCACGCTAACACACACACTCTTGTTATGTCAATACGGATGCGTGGTGTATATTGACAAAAACCTCACAGTCCCAAACATTTACACACATATACGAACACGAACGTAGTGATATGTATATCAGCGTAGGTATACATGAACACCGGCATCTATATATACTAAATATGTAAGAATAAAAAAATTATACGACTACTGTAAAAACATAATTTATAAATTAGACTCTAACAAAGAATAAATTAATAACAATGAAAGCTTTCGTGACTAAGTTCTACAGAACTACTGTTCATCCCAAAATACAGTGCGGGTGGGTATTTTTTGAATAACTTTTGATGGAAGTGAGATAGAGATGTGCAGTTTTCGCTAGCCAAGACTTGAGCGGAACTTTTCACAACCAAAAACCACTTTTCAAAAAATTTCAAAGATCGGGTTTCCAGAGGATTTTTGGAAAACTAGCTCCGTCCTCAGAAAACTAACACACAATGTTAGTAATTTTTTTACATGCGTACATAGTCCGGACGTTACTCCACAAAATTATGCAAGCCCCGGCGCTCCAGCTATCGTCGTTCGGATAAGACACGCTTTCTCCGAGCACGTGTCTATCTCCGAGCAGACATCTCGGGGAATCTCAAAATGACATGGAATATAGGTAATCGATACGTTGAGCATAGTAGCAACATTTGTTTTTGTGTAGAAATGAAAATAACTTCGCCAGAGGCACTTTTGTGAAAAACTGGGTTTTCGCGTGTTACTAGCAAAAATTAAAATCCTTATATCTCGATCAAATCTCATGCTGACTCAAGAAAATTTTCAGCAAACGCTCAGAACAGCTCATAAAGCATAATCGAAGACGAAAAGATGGATTTCAGCCGGGTATTGGTTTGAGGTTTTCCAGAAACCTTCTGAAAAACCTCAAAGCATCAGTATTTTGCTAGACCACTTTTTCGGCGTAAGCAGCAATACATCGCACCTTTTAAGTCTTTCCTGAAAGGTTGCTTGAGTCAGCATGAGATTTGATCGAGATATAAGGATTTTAATTTTTGCTAGTAACACGCGAAAACCCAGTTTTTCACAAAAGTGCCTCTGG